TCCGGGCCGGGCCGGGTCGCTGGTCTCCTTTGAAGTTTGGGCTCTTCCTGGCTCTTCTCCATAGGGACACCCCGAAAAGGCTTTGCTTTCTCTTGCTTCTCCTCCTGGGTCCCTCAGTTTCCCTTGAAGAGCGAGGATGGGGAGCTGAATCCCTGAAGCCGCTGAGGGTGGGACTGTTGGCTGACTTAGGCCGCCTTTGACTCTCGGCGGGCCGGGTCGCTGGTCTCCTTTGAAGTTTGGGCTCTTCCTGGCTCTTCTCCATAGGGACACCCCGAAAAGGCTTTGCTTTCTCTTGCTTCTCCTCCTGGGTCCCTCAGTTTCCCTTGAAGAGCGAGGATGGGGAGCTGAATCCCTGAAGCCGCTGAGGGTGGGACTGTTGGCTGACTTAGGCCGCCTTTGACTCTCGGCCGTTTGCAGTTCTGGTGCCGCCTTTCTTATTCCTCCTTTGTCCTTCTGTTCCAGAGCACGTCACCTCCAACGCCAGCGACAGCGAAAGCAGCTACCGTAAGTGGGCCCTGTCGTTTTTCTCGTCTGGGCGACTTCTGCCGATGCTGGGCTGCTTTCTGGGCCCCTCCGGCCGTCTCTTTCGCAGAGGCCCCAGGAGAGAGAGAGAGGAGAGCCTGTTGGAAAACGGCTGGGAGGGTGGGGGACGAGGCTCTTTTCCCGGCCTGCCTTGAATTCTCCCTTGCCCCCTCAGGCGTTTCCCCTTTCAGGCCTAGCAGGAGGGCAGGTACCTTCTTCCCACCGCATCTGTGGGCCTCCTCGTAGGAAGCAAGGCTCTGGGTCAGATGGCGGGCATTCCCCAGTCGCCCACGTCGGCGCCCCCTCCTGAGCCCCACCGAGGCCACGATGGAAACAGGGTAGTTGAAACACAGTTTGCAAACCTTGTAAATATATAAACTTTCAGTGAGCCTCATTTCTGTTAAATGGTAACAATGATACGGAACCAGCAGCTGCCTTAAATCTTTGCGGCAAAAACTGGTTTATCTGACGCAGCTCTTAGTAGGCTGCCGATCACACCATCCGAGGCATATTTATTCCAGGGAAAGGGTGATCCAGGGGACCAGGGAAAGCAGCTGCCGTGAGGGTCTTAGCCTTGGTCCCCGAGAGAGAGGGCGAGCACATCTTCCTATGCCCGTGTGGCCTGTGGGGAGTCTTGTGGAGTACGGCTGTCGCCCCACAGCCCAGCATTTGCCCACCCTTGCCGTCAGAGATACCCATGAATCATGTCGGCCTCTAAGTTTAGAAAGTCTTCCTGAGAGCTGGCTTTATTGACCCCCTGATGGGCTTGTAGGGGGAAAAAACAGAAGCCTGTCTTTGTCACAGCTGACATTTACCCCTGAAACGGTTCCAGTGTGAACCAAATAACCATTCCCAATCATATCAAAATTCATCCGAGTATATTAGAATTGATGGCAGAAAGTGAGGAGGAATTAAAGAACCTCTTAATGATGGTGAAAGAGGAAAGCACAAAAAAATGGCCTGAAGCTCAGCATCAAAAAAACCCCTAAGATCATGGCCACTGGTCCCATCACCTCCTGGCAAATAGAAGGGGAAGATCTGGAGGCAGTGACAGATTTTACCTTCCTTGGGCTCCATGATTACTGCATATGGTGACAGCAGCCATGAAATTAAAAGACACCTGTTTCTTGGGAGGAAAGTGATGACAAACCTCGACAGCATCTTAAAAAGCAGAGACATCACCTTTGCCAACAACGGTCCTCATAATCAAAGCTATGGTTTTTCCAGTAGCGATGTATGGAAGCGAGAGCTGGACCATAAAGAAGGCTGACCGCCGAAGAATGGATGCTTTTGAATGGTGGTGCTGGAGGAGGCTCTTGAGAGTCCCCTGGACTGCAAGGAGAAAAAACCTATCAATTCTAAAGGAAATCAACCCTGAGTGCTTCCTGGAAGGACAGATCCTGAAGCAGAGGCTCCAATACTTTGGCCATCTGATGAGAAGACTCCTTGGAAAAGACCTTGATCTTAGGAAAGTGTGACGGCAAGAGGAGAAGGGGACGACAGAGGATGAGATGGCTGGACAGGGCCATCGAAGCGACCAACATGAATTTTGACCCAACTCTGGGAGGCAGTGGAAGACAGGAGGGCCTGACGTGCTCTGTGGTCCATGGGGGGGGTCACGAAGAGTCGGTTTCGGGTCCCTTGGGGGGGGGATGCCTTTACAGTGGCCTGGTCCCCCGGCCGCCTCTATATATTCCCTCCAGTGCCTCTTCTCCCAAGAACCCATCATCAGGCTCCCACAGGACAAGTTGGGTGCAATTCCACTGGCCCCCTGGTGGCCCAAGGCAACCCTGGTTCACCACCCTAAGGTCCATGGCCAGCGACTTCCTTCGCTTTCCTGTGCTCCTTCGCCTTCTGACGCAAAATAACGGAAGGACCGACCATTCCCATCTGCAGACGCCATACCTGGCAGCTTGGAGAGGCCTCCCTCCATGGCTCAAGTCCTCGCTCACCCATGGAAGCCGTCTATGAACCGCAAATGGGTTGCCTCCTCCAGGTCCGCACAGGTGCGCGACTTCCCCACCCCCACAACTCTGGATGCCACCTAAGCATTCCTGTCCAACCACAGCCTCTTTCTGTCTATCCTCAAGGTATATCTAGCCACCCTAATTGCGCATCAGCCTCATGAATCCGATGTTCATGTCTCCACAACGGTCATTGCGCCTAGGATTACAACGTNCCCCCCCCCCCCCCCTTGAACCGTTAGCTACAGTTTCTGAGAAGCTCCTCTCCCTCAAAACCATATTCTTGGTTCCCATGTCAGGCCAGCGAGCTTGCTGCACTACGTGTGGGTCCACCCTTCCTCCAGTTGCATCTTCACCAAGTGGCCTTGCATATGGATGTATCCTTTCTTCCTAAAGTGGTTTCCAATGTTCACATCAAAGAACCATCATCTTACCTACCTTTTTCCTCTCGCCTCCCAATGACCTTTGGTCTTGAGGAAGCAGAAAAACTCCCGACAAGCAGACTTTCGTTCCACATCCTTTTGAGATTTATTTTCCGTTTTCGCCAAGCATTCTAGACCGCAGGTGAGAGCTAGACGTGATGCATCGTTCCATCAAGCAGTCTTTTCATCTGTGCTGACCTGACCTCCTGCTGGCCAGGAAATGAGCCTGGTCGCAGTTCGCACGACTCGCCCAGGCTCCTCTCGGTCTGCCACTCGCTGTATTTTATTCAGCGGCAGACCCGGGAGCTCAATATTAACCATGGGCAGTGGGGTGGGGGGGGTGAGGAGAGAGAGAGCATGTGTTTGGTGTTTGGGTGGGGCGAACAACTTCCTAGGCTCCAGGCAGTTCCAGGGGCCAAAAAGCCCATGGCTGTGAATTCCCAGGACTTAACAGCTCTCCCTCGCACAGAGCAAAGGCCCAGAGAGGCCAAGAAGGCTTCGTCCGTCCACGGACTCAGCGGCCATTGGCCATCCTCCTTCCTGGCTGGCAATTCCCCCCCCCCTCATCAGCAAAGAGCCCACAGCCTTTTGAGGCCGCTGCCTTCAAATGGCCTGTGTCAGGTTTCTTCTTTGGCTCTGGCGGAGGTCCATGGCTTGTGCATAAAAAACCATCCCATCATGCATTCGCTACAGAAGGATTGGAGGTGATAAAGCCAGGCTGATAGGCAGGGCCTTCTACCTATCGGGCCTTCTCACTGCAGCCTAAAACTCTGACATAACTGGGACTGGGAAGGACGGATCCCTGCCTCTTTGCCCTAACTGGGGGGAGAGGGGGTTCTCCTGAAATTTCACCTCCAGCTTTGCCAGCAACTTCTGTTGTGTCTGGGCTGGCTTTCGTGACATGTGAAAGTACAGTACGTGTCAGGTGCTTTAAACTCCAGAACTCCCCTTAATCTGATTAAAATTTGACACTTGCTTGTTACCTGTATAGAAATGCTCACAATAGTTAACCTCCGACTCTTCCCTGGTTTGAAACAATGGCCTTTTGTCCAGGGCCAGGCCTCTCAACCCGTCTGTCTCTGCACTTCTAGGTGGCCAGGAAGAATACGTCCTGTCTTACGAGCCCGTCGTTCAGCAAGAAGGTTTGTGCCCTCTTTGGTGTGAAGTGAAACAGCTGTGGAGGGGAGGTCAGCGAGAGAGAGCCAGTTGCCCCTCAGAGCCAGGATGGCAGAGGCTTTTTCAGCTGCTGGGGGGGGGGTTGAAGCTCAGGAGGCTCAGGAGTAAATCTGAAGGACACGTCTCAGAAACTGTGTACAGTGTGAACAGTGTGACGTAGCAGCTGCTGTGGGGTAGAGCACAACTCTTTCCTTAGTGGAAGAAAGGGGTGAGACCCTCCTGGGTTCCTCCTTCACAAAGCCTCTTTCTCCCCCCCCCCGGCTGCTCATTTGGACCGGGGAGCTTTGGGGCAGGGGACATGGGGCTCCCTGTGTCCTTGGGCTCTGGAGCAGTTGCCTCCCTTGCAGGAGCCTTGAAAATGGGCTTCTCCCATTTTCTTTACAGCGTAACTGCAAAGCCCAAGCCTTATGCCAGATAGGGATGCAGTGTTGGACGGCAGTTGAATAGGTGGCCTGTGTTATGAGCCAGCTGGTCAGGAGCCCCATAGCACTGTGGTGACACTGAAGTCGAGCCTCTGCTCAGGGCCTGAGTTGGATCCTGACAGGCTCCGGTAGCTCGAGCGAGGTTCACTCAGGCTTACATCCTGTTGAGGTTTGTAAACTGAGCGCCCAGCTTGCTGAGGGGGCCAGTTGTTGTCTGCAGAATTAGACTGCCAACTGCCCAGAAAGCGCTTTAAGCACTGTGTGTGTGTGTGGGGGGGTATATAAGCAGCACCCTGCACCCTTCTTTGCTTCCTTCAGGTGGTTGCTATGGTGCTGTCAGGTCACATCCGACTCGTGAGACTACACATTAATACAGGAAGGAGTTCTGCAAATAGGAGCCTTGAGCCAAGGCTGTGCAGCCGAGAGTCAGTGGCCGAGAGACCCGAGGGAGGGGAAGCCAGCGGCTAGCAAGGGAGCTGTTGGGGGCAGGTCAGAATGGTTTCTCCCTCACTGCAGCTAGGTTCTATAACAGTGAGGAATACAAAAGGATCCAGCAGCTAACAGGGAGCTTCTTAAAAGAAGAAACCCCAGAATGCTCAAGGAGAAGAGCAGAGGCTTAAGCCAAAGCGTTCCCAGCCAATGAACCTTGTCAGGTTTTAGCAGGATACCCAAGGAAGCCCCTGGCAAGATGGCTGCCGGGGCCGGGCGGCCTTCCCTCCCCCCCTCCCCACTGCCCCCGTGTCCACCTGATTCTGCCCCATGGAGGCCCACAGGTGGGAGGGGGGTCCCGGCCAGCTGGCAGGCAGGCAGCGGATGGGTGAGGCGATGTGCCCTTTGGGGAGACGCAGGGGGGCCCTGGAGGGCTGCTGTCCCTGCACTGACATCGCTTTGGATCCCCTTCCCTTTCAGTCAACTATACGCGGCCTGTGATCATTCTGGGACCGATGAAGGACCGAATCAACGACGACCTGATCTCTGAATTCCCTGACAAGTTTGGCTCCTGTGTGCCTCGTACGTACATCTTTTCTCTATTTTATTTTTCTTTTATCTTACTGAAATTTTTATTGAATGATCATGTGCATTCTTGTGTTTTATTGTTTTATTCTGTCTTGGAAGCCGCCTAGAGTGGTCTAGTAGACCAGATTAAATAAATTAATAAAATAAAGGGCTTTGGGTCTTCCGAAATGGGGAGGCTTCTCCCCAAAGAGCTGACACGCTGCTAGCGGGGGTATGTGTGTGGAGAGGCAGGCAGGGCCAAGCGAGGGCATCTTTCAGACTCTGCCCTTTTGCTTAGGGGGTTCAGCCAAAGCTTCCAAGGGACGGGCAGGTTTCAGGCAGAGGCGGTTCCACAAAAGTTCCTTCACAAGGTTGAATGGTGGAGAGAAGCAGGTGGAACCACTGTTGGGAGGGGGAGGCCTGTTGCCCCGTCCCGTCCCCCCAAATTCAGGCAGGGCCAACGCTTTCCCGGAGGGCTTTTCCTTTGACCTATTCGCCCCGCCTGCTTCGACAGAATCTGTGGCCCTGAAACGTGGCCCGTTGGATCTCTTAGACGACCTTCCTGCCCTGTCCTGGCCCTCTTGCGGCTGAGCCCTCTGGCCTGTCGGCCTCCCTCCTTCCTTCATCTTCCTCATACCAGCTCCCTGCTGGGAGACAGAGAGCTCCCCCCCCCACCTCCTCCACAGTGTGTGGGTCTCATGGTCTCAAGGGCCTCCCTTGTGCGGTCCTGTTGGAATCAGGAGGAGGAGAGGGGAATAGTTGCAGATCAAAGGGAGGAAAGAGTTAGCGGCGGGGGGGGAAGATTATCGGGAGGAGGAGGAGGAGGCGCGCAGGGGAAGGAAGAGGGTGACAGCACGTGGGGTGCGAGGGGATGTGGGCAGGATGTATAGTTCGCAGCACAGCGCTGTTCCCAAGAGGGTGATGTTGCTCGGGTGGGGGGGAGGCAGTCAGGGATGGCACAGCGGAAGCGTTGCCTTCTGGTGGGGATCCGCCGAGTAGAGGTCCCTCATCACGAATGGCTGTCTCAGAGAGGCAGCTGTGATGAGGTGAACCAGGGAGTCCTTCTTTTTAACCGCAGCCTCTTTCTCTTTTGCTCTCCTCCTGTGAAGATACAACCCGACCAAAGCGAGACTACGAGGTGGATGGGCGGGATTATCACTTCGTAACGTCGAGGGAACAGATGGAGAAAGACATCCAAGACCACCGGTTCATTGAAGCCGGGCAGTACAACAACCATCTGTACGGGACGAGCGTCCAGTCTGTGCGGGAGGTGGCGGAGAAGGTACATGATAGGCTCCACCACCCCCACCACCGCCCCCCTGAGGTGTCTCCTGGTTTCAGGTCTGCCGGGTGCCAGCGGTGGATCCGGAGAACCTTCCGCGCATGCGCAGGCCCGCGTGCACTGATTTCCCTTCTGCATCTTTCGGCCCTACAGGCCACCTTCCGTGGCTTATGGGGGGTAGTTGGCCAGGCAGCCTGGGCGACTCAGTTCCCTCCTTCCCTCAGACGGCCTTTTCCCTCTGCTCTCTGTGCCAGGGCAAGCACTGCATCCTTGATGTCTCTGGAAACGCGATCAAGAGGCTCCAGGTAGCCCAGCTGCACCCAGTCGCCATCTTCATCAAACCCAAATCAGTGGAAAATATCACGTGAGTTGAAACCAGCCCCCTGTTCCTTGGTGCCCTTCTTCGCTCAAGGTCCAGTGGCAGGAGCGACTGCCTTCTGGCTTCTAGGGAACTCCGGAATGGCTGCCCTGGGCTGTTCTGCGTCCCACGCGAGTCGCCTCCTTGCATTTCCTGAGATTGAGACATTCTGTACGCTAGGCAAAGCCTCCCCCTACTTTGGCTGGCCTTAAGGAGCCAGAGGCCTGGCCTGGGAGGGCCCGGGTGGGGGGGTGGGGGTGTTGCTGTGAGGAGACCAAGGTCAGCCAGACCGTGGGAAGGGGGCCTGGCGGCTACGCCCCATCCTGATCAATGGGATTAAGCCTTTCCTGGACCAGTCTCTGAAGCCTCGCCAAGGCAAAATTATCCATGTGCTTCCAGATGTTTCCAGAACCTCTCTGGCCTTGAATGGGCAGCTTTAGCATATGTGTTTCTCTTCAGTGAATCTGTAAATATCCGCATCTGTTTTCTTCTTGACATCGAAATCCTTGCTTAGCTCAGGATGGTCACGGTTGCGTACCTTCTCCTGTTTCAGGGAAATGAATAAAAGATTAACAGATGAGCAGGCGCGGAAGACATTTGAAAGAGCTATGAAACTGGAGCAAGAATTTACGGAACATTTTACAGGTTTGTTTCACCCTTGGTACCAAATCTGTTAATGTCAGAAGGGGGGGGTTTCTTTTCTAGCCCGGACGTGGAGTCTCACAGAGCTAGAGGGAGAACCCTGTCCAGTGGGATTTTAGGGGAAATGTAGAGGTGTAAAATTTCTGAAAATTTCCACTTTTTCCAGAGTATTTTCCTCTGTTTTTTTTCTGGAAAAATGAACATTTTTGGAAATTCTACATGTCTAGGGAGATGCCACAAACTTGTCCCTGCATTCCTTAGAGTTCAAAGCCAGCCCCCGTTTGTGTGGTGTATGCGCGCACAGGCGTGGTTGTGGGGTTGGGTTGGTTTCTTGGAAGAATGGTTCTGGCTTGGGGATGTGCGTGAGAATGATGCAGATTAAATGTTCAGGGGAGGTGTCCACAAGTGGGGATACCGGGAAAGAGTGGGGCAGAGCCCCTCATGCGCCAGATGGTTCTCTCCTCTCTCCAGCCATCGTTCAAGGGGACACCCTGGAAGAGATTTACAATCAAGTCAAGCAAGTGATTGAGGAGCACTCGGGGCCCTACATTTGGGCCCCTGCCAAGGAGAAGCTCTGAGGGGACGGTGCTCTTCGGCCTCCTGCCTCCAGCATCCCACTGCCTCTTCCTCCAGCTGACAGACTGACAACTGACCAGCTGTGGGGGGGGTCCGCAGGCCCAGCGGCACCTCCAGCCCTGGATGGATGGATCTCGTGGGAGCTGCCCCCACCGCCCCCGCCACAACCATCACCACCACCAGGACTGCCACCGCCGCTGCTGCCGCCACTGCCGCTGCCACGGCGGCGTCCCAGGGCTGCCTCCTTTTCTTCCGCCAACTGCGTGGATCCTCACCGGCAGCCACGGACAGGGGTTTTTTGGTTTTTTTTTAATCTCAGTGCTCAAGAGGCAACAGCTCTTGTGGGAAAAGGGGGAAATTACACAGTAAACTCCTTAATGTTTAAGGGAAAGTATCCTTCACAGATTTTGAGAAAACAAAGCTTTATATACATCCTCTCAACGATTTCCTAACAAAATGAAAGAAAAGTGGTCTTAATGATGTAAATTGTGAGCAATTTTGCACGCTTAACCTTACTAGCATGATTTGATCCAAGGGGTTCAGGACTTAGTTTCATCATTTTCTGTTGAAATGCTTAAGATAATGTTTGCATAATCAACATTATTTCACAAGGGAAAAGTCATTTTCATAATTTCATAAGAATATTCTTTATTGTCTTATCTTTTCCCCCCTCCTTTTTTGTGATGCTGTTGCTAGAGACAAGAGTAACTATTTTTAAACTAGTTCATTCAAGGCTGTTTGGAACTTCTTAACAAATATCATTGATAGCTGACCATCATTGCATTTTTGAATCCAAGTACTATTTAGGTGCTTAAAAAGCTTGTATCCCACCTAGGAATGATGAATTTTGTTCTGAAAATATTTTGAAAGATACTATTATTATTATTATTATGGCCAAGGCTCTGTTTTAGAGCCTGGAAGTATAAATATGTTCGTAGAGGTCAGATTTTGATGAATATTTTACCCATAATAATTGCCTATTTTGTTATAATAAAATATATACATACATATATGCACATATATGTATATATAAATATATATATTAAACTTTCTTTAACTAAAGACTTAATTGTGGGAATTATTTTATTTGCATCTTTCCATACCAAGCAATACCACCATATTTTGGTTTGGGGAAAGGTTTGAAGAATAACACCTTTCCTCTTAAGCTCTTGAGGGGGGCCTGAATCACATCCCTCCTCCACCCCTTCCATTCTGGGGCAAAATTGTGAGCAAGTTCTGTTTCTCAAACATCCAACTCAGCCCATCGGTAAATGTGCACCTCCAATAGAAGGAGATTTGAAACCTATGCATGCATCCTCTGTGTTCGTGTGTGTATGTGTGGCCAGATGCCATGTTGATGGTGTTGGTGTTAATGGTTGATTGATCAGTTGCATTTTTTTTAAAAAAAACAGTGATGTACAATTTCACAAGATTTTTTGATCCAGTTTGCAAAAACTGTCATGTGTGGCCAGAACAATGAGGACGCTTCATTTCGCATGTTTCTTGACTTTAGACTTCATGCAGAGGTGCATGTAATACAGACAGCTAAGGATCTCCGTTTTCCAGCAGACATATTTGGTAGCAGGCCACGGCAGATAGAAGGAAGTTGACTCTTCTGCTAACCCGTCAGCCGGCTAGTCATGCTCATGTCGTGCCAGGTGCCGAGGGACACTGATGTTTGACCTGAAGGGGGCTGTGTGCTCAAGACAAGACACATGGGCTCCCGAATGGCCTGCCTTGCTGGGAGAATTTGGCTGATGTTGCCCCTGATTTTCTTTACCTGCTGTCCTTTCCCTACATTTAGTTGAGAAAGGTGTTGACTGTTCTAGATTCTACAGTGTGAGCTGCCTCAAGTGTTTCAGGGAGCCGAGAGAATTAGAGATTTTCTTAACAAACGTTTTAAAGGGAACTGGAAGGTGCAGCAGGATCTCCAGAGGTGGTGAAAGAACTATCAATGCTCTTCCCTTCTCCACCAAAAAATACTTTCCGGGTGCAGTGGATTCGCTGTGGACGTAAGGGGCCTGGCCCTTCCTCTCCCTGCCCCTTAAGGTCTTGTGAGCATTCCAGAACACCGGTTTCCTGACTCACCTGGCAGTACCGGGTTTTTTGCACAGAGAACACTCAATCACGCTTTGAAACCAGGCAGCGTTAAATGTTCTAATGGGCCAAATGATCTTACAGTCTTTTTTTAGGACCACAATTACAAAAATTTCTAAAAATAGTCTAAATTCCTTAACATTTTAATTTGATTTTAATTTTGCCTATATTTTATATACAGTACATCCATATTTTTAAATTCTACAGCAGTCTGATATAAATAAAGGAGGAATTTGAAACCAAGCAGCATTAAATCAGATTTTTCTCCTTTCCTATTTTCCATCCTCTCCTCTAATTCTTTAATTATGGATGACATAAAATCACTTACTTTTACCTTTAAATAAAAAGAAAAACAAAAAATGGATTGGAAAGAAGAATATAATAAAAAAAAATTAAAGTATTTTACAAGATGGGAATGCGTGACGAGAGAGGGCAGGCAGGAAATAAAGAAAACAGCTGTCACCCTGTTCCTCTTGGGTGCCCGGATGGACCTGGTCCTGCAAGTGTGGAAGAATGTCAGAGGAGACTAGTGGCAGGATCAGGCCCAAGGCCTATCCTCTGATTCAGTGCCCGGCTTCCTTCAATGGCCAGCCAGCCAGCCAGTAGTCCCAGTGGGATGATGCCAACTCTTTGTCTCAAGGCAGCTCACAATTCAGAATTTAGAAGAATGAAGATGCTGAAAACCGAGCAGCAAATGAAATGGTGCACTATTTGAACTGGAGGGTCAGGACTGATTATTGGTTTTGTGCAAAAAAAATATATCTTTCTCTCCTCCTTTTAAGCCCCTTGTGTGGAAATCATGACCTATTATCTGTGGCTTCACAGAGCAATTTGCCTTTTTGTGCAATGCTTTGCAAAATGCAATGCTTTTGGAACCACTCGACTGCTAGTTGTGGGAGGGCAGTCATGCTCTAGTTTAAGGTCTTCTCTCATTCCTTTTGAAGTTATCTGGAAGTTGAGTCATGGCAGCTGGACTTCTTTCTTATTAGGTTGAAATGTTTCACTACTCATCCAAGGAGATCCCTGCTAGATCCTCCACGTTGGTTTCACTTCCCCCTGGTCTGAATAGGCTTGTTAGATGGACTAACAGTGATCTTCAGGTGGGTCTGGTCCTGCTCTTTCTGGGGACAGATGTTCTGTCCACATACCTGAACCAATGGGTCGGAGTCGTCCCCTAGAATGTGTTCCATGTCTTCTTTTCCATATCTTCCATGTAGAAGTTGAAAACAATGGGTGACACCAGGGAATCCATGGTATACATCAGTGGTTCTTAACCTTTTTGAAAGAAACGCCGCCTTGAGCCATTGAAGAAGTTATCATCGCCCCCCCCTCCTTGAGGTGATGATATCTTACCTACCTACCTACCTACCTACCCACCTACCCACCTACCCCCCTACCTACCTACCTACCTAGTCTCCCTCCCCACCCGGGTGCGAGGCAGCGCTTCACGGGGCGAGGATGAGGACCCAAGAGACACTTTCCTTCCACCTGATCCACACTCAATGCCCCCCTAAAGGAGAAAGGCGAGACGTGGCAGGTAGAAAGAGCTGGATCATCTGGCGGCAGCAGCAGCACCGGATCTACTGCCAGCACTGCGGCTGCAGTTGCCTTCACAGGGTTGGCTTGCTCCAGCGACCCACTACCGCCCCCTTCTGTTCTTTCGCCCCCACACCGCCCCTTTTCATTCTACTGCCCCCCTGAAAAATGAAATCGCCCCCTGGGGGGCATTACTGCCCACGTTAAGAACCACTGGTATACATTACTGAAACAATGGTGTCTCACATGTCGTGAGAATGGCTGATGGTCGGATTCCAGAAGATCTCCTGTATGGAGAATGAGTGCAGGGAAATCGCCCCAGAGGCAGACCACAGCTGCAATCTAGGGAGATACCCAAGCTGGATCTGAAGGCCTTGGGAACGAACCTCCACAGATGGGACACCTTGACGTCTGAATGTTCAGCCTGGAGGCAAGCAGTTCATCACGGCCTCTCCCAATTTGAAGAGACAGTTGTCCAGCAGGCCAAGGCAAAGAGGTAATCACAAAATCAGGGAGCTAGACAGGGAACAAATTGTATTTTTCTTCAGTGTGTAAGGGATTGTTGTCACTTGTTATCAAATTGGCCTTCTCAGCCACACGAGACGCTGTTCCAAGACCTCTATTCAGAGTATCTTACTATAGTCTCTCGACACTGAAGGGTGCCTACTGTGTATGTATATACGTATATCCCCTTCACAGATTGCTGCCTTGTGGCAAAAGGGCTTGAGTAATTCAGAGAAGCTATGGGCTATGCCGTGCAGGGACACCCAAGACGGACAGGTCATAGTGGAGAGTTCTGACTAAACACAATCCACCTGGAGCAGGAACTGGCAAGAAAACTTCATGGACAGAAACAAAAGGCTAAAAGATATGATGCTGGAAGATGGGACCCTCAGGTCGGAAGGCATCCAACATGCTACTAAGGAAGAGCGGAGGACAAGTAAAAGTAGCTCTAGAGCTAATGAAGTGGTTGGGCCAAAGCCGAAAGGACGCTCAGCTGTGGACATGCCTGGAAGTGAAAGGAAAGTCCGATGCTGCAAAGAAAAATACTGCATAGGAACCTGGAATGTAAGATCTATGAACCTTGGGAAGCTGGATGTGGTCAAACAGGAGATGGCAAGAATAAACATTGACATCCTGGGTGTCAGTGAACTAAAGTGGACGGGAATGGGCGAATGCAGTTCAGATGATTATCATATATACTATTGTGGGTAAGAATCCCATAGAAGGAATAGAGTAGCCCTCATAGTCAACAAAAGAGTGGGAAAAGCTGTACTGGGATACAATCTCAAAAATGATAGAATGATTTCAATGTGAATCCAAGGCAGACCTTTCAACATCACAGTAATCCAAGTTTATGCACCAACCACCGATGCTGAAGAGGCTGAAATTGACCACTTTTATGAAGATTTACAACACCTTCTAGAACTGACACCTAAGAAAGATGGTCTTCTCATTCTAGGGGACTGGAATGCTAAAGTAGGGAGTCAAGAGATTAAAGGAACAACAGGTAATTTTGGTCTTATAGTTCAAAACGAAGCAGGGCAAAGGCTAATAGTGTTTTGTCAAGAGAACAAGCTGGTCATCACAAACACTCTTTTCCAACAACACAAGAGGTGACTCTACACATGGACATCACCCAAAAACACCTGAGTAACCCAAGGTTAAGAACCACTGCTCTATACAGTCATTAAAAAAACCAAAAAACTGGAGCTGATTGTGGCTCTGATCATCAGCTTCTTATAGCAAAATTCAAGCTGAAACTGAAGGCAGTAGGAAAAACCACTGGGTTAGTCAGGTATAATCTAAACCAAATCCCTTATGAATACACAGTGGAAGTGAAGAACAGATTTAAGAAACTAGATTTGATGGACAGAATACCTGATGAATTATGGATGGAGGTTCGTAACATTGTTCAAAAGAAAGCAACAAAAACAATCCCAAAGAAAAGGAAACGCAAGAAAGCAAAGTGGCTGTCCAACGAGGCCATACAAATAGAGAAGAGAAGGGAAATAAAATTCAAGGGAGATAGGGAAAGATACACAAAATTGAATGCAGACTTCCAAAGAATAGCAAGGAGAGACAACACGGTCTTCTTACGTGAACAGCGCAAAGAAATATAGGAAAAGAATAGAAAGGGAAAAACCAGGGATCTGTTCAAGAAAATTGGAGATGTTAATGAAACATTTTGTGCAAAGATGAAAATTATAAAGGACAAAAATGTAGGGACCTAACAGAAGCAGAAGACATCAAGAAGAGGTGGCAAGAATACAGAGATGAATTATACCAGAAAGATTTGGCTATCCCGGACAACAGAGATAGTGTGGTTGCTGACCTTAAGCCAGACGTCCTGGAGAGTGAAGTCAAGTGGGCCTTAGAAAGCATGGCTAACAACAAGGCCAGTGGAGGTGATGGCATTCCAGTTGAAGGATTTAAATTCTTAAAAGATGATGCTGTTAAGGTGCTGCACTCAATATGCCTGCAAGGTTTGAAAACTCAGCAGTGGCCAGAGGATTGGAAAAAAACAGTCTACATCCCAATCCCAAAGAAGGGCAGTGACAGAGAATGCTCCAACCACCATACAATTGCACTCATTTCACAGGCTAGCAAGGTTATGCTCAAAATGCTCCAAGGTAGGCTTCAGCAGGATGTGGACGGAGAATTCCTAGAAGTACAAGCTGGATTTCGAAGGGGCAGAGGAACTAGGGACCAAATTGCTAACATGTGCTGGATTATGGAGAAAGACAGAGAGTTCCAGAAAAATATCTACTTCTGCTTCATTGACTATGCAAAAGCCTTTGACTGTGTGGACCACAACAAACTATGGCAAGTCCTTAAAGAAATTTGCCTAACCACCTTATCTGTTTCCTGAGAAACCTATATGTGGGACAGGAAGCAGCAGTTAGAACTGGATATGGAACAACTGATTGGTTCAAAATTGGGAAAGAAGTACAACAAGGCTGTATATTGTCCCCTGGCTTATTTATTATATGCAGAATACATTATGCGAAAGGCCAGAATGGAGGATTCCCAAACCGGAATTAAGATTGCTGGAAGAAATATCAACAACCTCCGATATGCAGATGCTACCACTCTGATGGCAGAAAGTGAGAAGGAATTAAGGAACGTCGTAATGAGGGTGAAAGAGGAGAGCACCAAAAACGGTCTGAAGCTCAACATAAAAAAAAAACCTAAGATCATGGCCACTGGTCCCTTCACCTCCTGGGAAATAGAAGGGGAAGATATGGAGGCAGTGACAGATTTTACTTTCTTAGGCTCCATGAGCACTGCAGATGGAGACAGCAGCCATGAAATTAAAAGACGCCTGCTTCTTGGGAGGAAAGTGATGACAAACCTCGACAGCATCTTAAAAAGCAGAGACATCACCTTGCCTACAAAAGTCAGAATAGTCAAAGCTATGGTTTTTCCTGTCGTGATGTATGGAAGTGAGAGCTGGACCATAAAGAAGGCTGACTGCCAAAGAATTGATGCTTTTGAACTGTGGTGCTGGAGGAGACTCTTGAGAATCCCCTGGACTGCAAGGAGAACAAACCTATCAATTCTAAAGGAAATCAATCCTGAGTGCTCACTGGAAGGACAGATCCTGAAGCTGAGGCTCCAGTACTTTGGCCATCTCATGAGAAGAGAAGACTCCCTGGAAAAGACGCTGCTGTTAGGAAAGTGTGAAGGCAGGAGGAGAAGGGGACGAGAGAGGATGAGATGGCTGGACAGGATCACTGAAGCGACCAATGTGAATTTGACACAACTACGGGAGGAAGACAGGAGGGCCTGGCGTGCTCTGGTCCATGGGGTCATGAAGAGTCGGACACGACTTAATGATTAAACAAATGTATCTGTGTATGTACTGTATGCATGAATGAACTATTCATTGCATTTTTATGTTGCCTTTATTTGAGTGAAGGGGGTCAAAGAAGCCACACTATTGTTAAAACAGACAGGAATTAAAACAAAATACTAGAACACATCTGAAAACAGTTGTAAAAGCATAAAAATGTTTAATAGCCATTCAAAAGCTATAAAAGAATTGAGCATAGGCAGTTATGTTAAAACTGGAAATGAAAATCCTGTTTGAAGAGAGAGGGGTTCACCATTCACCAGACGGACCAGAGAGAGGGGAGGGGAGGCCAACCTCGTCTCCCAGGGAAGGGCCCTTGTAGATCCCCTTCGCTGGACGGAGCCCCACCGGCTGAACCTGGGCTTCCATTTGCCTTTGCCAGCCTTTCTGGCCTGAACCTGAAGAGTCACCCCATTACGCCACTAGGTGGAACTGAAGGGATGACCCACCAACTCCATCACCTCTTCCCATCCAGGTCTGCTCTGGCGAGGGAGGTGGAGGGTTGGACCGGACTGGGAGGCAGGCGTTAGCCCTGGCCGAGGAGGAGCTGGCAGGCCAGGCAGACGTGGCCTGTTTGGCACACCGGGAGACCTGCCTGGTGTCCTCGGGGAAGGGAAGGAGGAGTCCAGAGAAGCGAGGAACCTGTTGCTGTCTGTCTCAGCCGCGAAAATGCATCTCACATGGCTCTGGGCCCTTCTGCTCTGCTGTCGATCAGGTAGGCTGAGATTTCACTTTCCTCAAAACGGGGGGGGGGGGGCGCAGAGAGGCAATGGAAAACCCAATAGTGGATATTTTTATTATTATTATTATATCATTAAGCTGGAGAAGCTTAGGGGAGAGCAGGGGCAGAGGAGGGGCCTTTCTCTCCTCTTCAGTTATGGCTTCGGGCATTACCTTCTACAACAGCGTGGCCATTGTTCTTGGTGTTTCTTAGCTATCCTTTCAAGCAAGTGTGCCTCCCCCCCCCCAAAATAATAATAATAATAATGATAATAATAAAGTATGGCTAGTCTTTGTTTCAATAGAGCTTGGAGCTGGGGGAAGGGAGTAGCCTTCTATTCCAGATGTAATTTACAGCAGGATTTGGCATTTAACCCAAAGAGAGGGAGACGAAGCACGAGAGAGTCGTTGGATGGCAATGACAAGAATTGCTTCACACCCCACCCCTACTCCCACAAAAGGCCGTAGCAGCCCTCAGGAGGTGAGCCCTGATCCGCTGGCGCAGCAGTGTACCCTTGGACTTTGCTGCCAGGCACCACGAGAGCCTTGCGTTTTGATTGCGACTAAAGGTGGCTTCCGGGCAGGGAAGGGGCACTGACAGTGGGAGCGGTTCCTGCCTATTTTGCTGGAGACGTTCCTGGCCAGGTTCAAACATCCTCGTTCAAATCCCAGTCCTGCACCATCCCACTTCTTGCGCAAAAGTTGAGAACCTTATAGCCCGGAGGCCCACAGCTGGGCATGTGCTGACCAAAATGTTTGTGTTTAGGAAAACAGTAGAAGCCTGGGCTTCAAAGTGTTGGCGTGCCGGGAATGGCCCGTTCTCCCAAATCCCAGCTCAGCCTTCTATCTATCCAGGCTTCTCCTTTGAGCTGGCCACTTCCCTCAACAGACAACTGGATGCCTTCTCGGAGTGTGAGCCCACACAGAGTGGGCATTTTTATGTGCCACCAGAAAATTAGATCATTCATTTGCCCTAGAAAGAAAAAGGTATAACCAGAGAGGATCTGAGGCTATTCACAAGTGCAATCAATTTGAACATTTATTTAAATTACAGCAGAAAACAGAGAATAAGAGCCATGAATATCAATAGAAAAGAAATCAGAGGAAGAATAATCTCAATTAAAGCAACAGGGGAAATTGTAGTTATGCAAAATTAACTCCTGTTAGCCCTTTATAAAACACTATCTTTGCCCCTAACCTTCCACCAGCCCTCTAGTTAAAGTTCACTGGGTTCCCAGCTGTGTAGCAGTCTTTGGTCAAGAGACTGAGAAAGAAAAACATTGCGCTACATACTTCAAGGAACAGGTTCCTGAAAACCCAGGGGAATGTGCAGGAGAATGGATCGATCCAGGAGAATCCTGATGGGAACATCAGAAAGGAACATGTAAAATAAGGCAGTAAAGCCACTGGTCTGTGGGTTGAGAAAATAAAAATAAAAGATGAAAGTAAGGGAATAAAAAGTCCCAAATGTGGCCCAGGAGAAAGGAGCTCTTTGTAAAAAGAAACACAAGGGGAAGGGAAGCGTGGCATCTCTCACAAGGAGTAATCTAATCCACTGAGAGTTTCTTCTCTCAGAATGAAGGCCCAAATAAGGCCCAAAGGCGGCCAAAATCTGCAAAAGGAAACATAGCAAGAGAAAAAAGGGAACTGAAAAACATCCTGTGAGTTTGTGTGACTCTGAGCTGCTAATATTCATGCAGTCTGATCGGCTTTCTTTCGTCTCTAAAATTCAACTCTATGTTAGTAGATGGTGTGTTGGCAGAAAAAAACACATCGCACCAGCCTTCTTTATTCCAAGAAAGTAAGCCATCCCTGGGTCCTGAGACACATGGCGCGACCAGAGCATCCTGCCAGAGCAGACTCTGGGTCTGGGGCCATTGGAAGTATCATCCGAGGCCGCTGTCGCCTGTCTGTACCGCCCATTGAACCTCGAACAGTAACCAGCTCTTCTAAGTGAAGCTCCGCATGGAGGGGCTCATTGCAACCCAGGAAATGGCTGGGGAGGGAAGTTGGGGGGGGGAGGTTGTGTCTCAGAAGGACTTGGCACCCGGGAGGCTTCGCTCCCAAGCAAGAGCCACCAGAGATTAAGAAAAGGCCGTTGTTGAGATGATATGGGAAGGACTGGGGTGATATTTCTCTCTCTCTCTCTCTCTCTCTCTCTCTCTCACACACACACACACACACACACACACACACACACACAGAGAGAGAGGGGGGGGAGCTCCTTCCCAGAGAGGCAGAGAGACAAAGTTCCCTTCCTGCCTCCTCAGCAAACCCAGCTTTGTGTGGAGGTGTAACTTCATCTGGCTCTAGGCATCCACCTCCAGTGACATTTTCTCTGCCCAGAAATGGATGCCGAAATAAACAAAAGGATGACAACGATCATCATCATCATCTGGACTGTCTCTTGAAGGCACTGACTGGTTGAATGCCTGCCGCCTGCTGGACTCTGTTTCAGCAGAAGCGGCGAAGGGAGAGCCTGCCAACGGCTGGCCAAAGCCCCTGGCGAGGCCAGAAGCGCCACCTGGGAGGGCCGTCCGGCTCTGCCGAGACAGGTCCTGAGCCTGGTCCTGAGCCGCTGTGGCTCTGATGTTTCCTTGGTGCCTCTTCTTTTCAGCCTTCTCCGCAGACCTCTTGCGCTGGTGCACCACCTCCGAGCAGGAGCTAGCCAAGTGCAGTGACATGAGCAAAGCCTTCTCCAGGGCTAACCTTCTTCCCGATGTGGCTTGCGTTGTCGGTGGCTCAGCCTTCGGTTGCATCTCCATGATCAACGTAAGTCTGTGTTGCTTGTGTGTGTCTGGATCTTGGGTTCAGGGGAGCAGGATGGGGGGTAGGTCCTTCTCTCCCCAAGTGCACAGCCCTTCCTCCTTTGACCTTCCGGGCGGGTGCAGAGGGGGCAACCGAAAGGCCAGGCACTGTTTTTCTCCTGTCCTGCTTGTGGGCTGACTGGTGGGGCGCCTGGTGGCTGCTAGGAGAGGGACACCGGAGGCTGATCCAGACGGGACGGCTAAGGTCTGATCCAGCCAGAGGGTTCTGTGTAGGACATTCGAAGGAAAGATCAGAGTTAGGGGTGGGGGAGACCAAGTTTTCCACATACTGAGGCCCAAGGGTGAAAGAACAGGGAACAGCCCTGCCTGGAGCCACCTATTATACCCTACCCCACCCCCCAAAAAATAGCCCCATTCATTGCTGACTCCTTACAGTTTATTTCTGGGGGAGCTGGGTCGGCCCCAGGGCGCTCAAGCCCAACCCGCCCTGCTCCAGGCTGGGCTGATTCCCTGCTCCAGGTTCCCTTTGCCCAGAGTTTCTCACCCGTCTCTGTGGCTGGCAAGTGTGGGCAGCCGCCCTCCTGGGTCTCTGGCAGCGGTGCCTCTCTGTGTACGCCGCGCCCCAGCAAACCTCACGTGTGCCTCCATTGGCCACCAGCCCCTGGGCAGGCCTATCCTTACCTTGGAGGGCCTTGGATGGCTCAGCTCTGCTGTATGCAAAGAAATTCATTTCAGGTAAAGAATAAATCCATAAATGAAGCAACCCTGCCGCCTGGAAACCCCCTTTTGTTCCAGGAACGTTCAGTGTAGCAAACAAGAGTTCAGAATAAAACTTAGAACCAATGAAATACTATACCAGCAATTGTACACAGAGAAAAATTCAAGAAAAATATTTGAAGAGCAGGAATGCAGCCCCTGCAGATGCTTTCTCGTACACCCCGTCAGCACCACTGAATGACAGGGACAATACGAGCGCCGTTGTGGTCCCTTCCGTGGCCAGGGCTGTCTTGGGAGTGGCTCTCTTCGCTTCCTGACTCCGGAGGGAAGACACCCGGCTGCTGCAAGAGGGCGAGGAGAGACAAGGAGGCCACAGTGTCTGGAACCCAGCAGAGAGACAGAGCAGCTCCTGTGAGCAGCAACCGTAAAGAAGGCAGTTGCTTGCTATAACCAGCTACTGTACCAAAGGGATCCAGGTGCCACAAACCTCTGAAGTTGAAGAATTGGTTCCTAGATGGAGGGTGAGGCTGAAAGCCTTAAAACCATGGCTGTCTTGTTTCAGACTTCTGAATTTCTGCTAAAATTCTCTTTGCTAAATAGTAGAAGTACAGAGATCCGCAAAGGAGAATAGCTACTGTACGAAGTTTACTAGAGTCCCCTTTCTCATTAACGGGCATTAACTGCATCTCAGTAACTCACTCTGAGACATTTGTAGGATAAATAATAAAATTTGTGGTTTTTTTTACTTTCCGTAACAATTGCTTTAAGGTATAGACTAGGGTGTGCTGCTTTCTTTATTGTCACATAACTATCTGCTTGGACCATCGCAATTGCTCAGGTTTGCTCTTGGTGCCTCCACATATGAATTCAAGGCTCTGCCTTTTGACCTCTCTATCGCCCCAAGGGTCTTCAAAAATGCACATCTTTGCACAAAATGTTTCATTAACATCTCCAATTTTCTTGAACAGATCTCTGGTTTTTCCCTTTTTTCTTTGCATTGTTCATTTAAGAAGGCCCTCTTGTCTCTCCTTGCTATTCTTTGGATGTCTGCATTCCATTTTCTGTAACTTTCCCTGTCTCCCCTGCATTTTGTTTCCCTTCTCCTCTCTGCTATTTGTAAGGCCTCGTTGGACAGCCACTTTGCTTTCTTGCGTTTCCTTTTCTTTGCGATGGTTTTTGTTGCTGCCTCCTGTGCAGTGTTACAAACCTCCATCCATAGTTCTTCAGGCTCTCTGTTCACCAAATCTAATTCCTTTAATCTGTTCTTCACTTCCACTGTGCATTCATAAGGGATTTGGTTTAGATTATACCTGACTAGCACAGTGGATTTTCCTACTTTTGAGTTTTCCTATAAGAAGCTGATGATCAGAGCCCCAATCAGCTCCAGGTCTTGTTTTTGCGGACTGTATAGAGCTTCTCCATCTTTGGCTGTAGAGAATATAATCAATCTGATTTCAGTATTGCCCATCTGATGATGTCCGTATGTAGAGTCACTTCTTGTGTTGTTGGAAAAGAGTGTTTGTGATGACCAGCTTGTTCTCTTGATAAAACTCTATTAGCCTTTGCCCTGCTTCGTTTTGAACTCCAAGGCCAAACTTCCCTGTTGTTCCTTTCATTTCTTGACTCCCTACTTTGGCATTCCAATTCCCTAGAATGAGAAGAACATCTTTCTTTGCTGTCAGTTCTAGAAGGTGTTGTAAGTCTTCATAAGTAGTTAGAGGGGGTAGCCTTCATCAAACCGCCATTTTGACAGTTGCGCCGCCCCTTTTTGGGACCTTGCAGCGGAAGGGGTGGGCCTTCCGGCGTCTAGGCTCGACCCAGGCCCCTTCCGAAGGAAGGGGCGGGTCGAGCGGTAACGTCAGGGGTTGTGGAGGGCCCTGTGGGCCTATAGGGGCCTTTGCCTAGAGTCCGGGGTCCCCCGTGACCCTAGGGTTGCCTGAGGATTGGTCCCCGAGGGTTGTGCCACCCCAGCAGCCCTGTAGGCCAATGGGGAGCGGTTGGAGGGGTTTGGCTAGAAAGGGTGGCCATAGGGCAGTGGTCCCCAACCTTGGGCCTCCAGATGTTCTTGGACTTCAACTCCCAGAAATCCTGGCCAGCAGAGGTGGTGGTGAAGACTTCTGGGAGTTGTAGTCCAA